CCATGAAAGTTTTAGAACGGATTAGTTGATGTACAATAATGATGGTTGACTTATTCATATTGGACTTTTACATATAAATTAAATAAAATATAATCTAATATGAAAAAAATTTGCTATCAGAAATGTTGGAGTATTTGTTGTGTAAAAGTGAATTTTGAGTTGTTGTTTAATGTTGAGTTGTGCATTTTGTTAAGTCTAGTTTAATGATAAATTGGAATCACATGACTTTCAGGTGATGATATATGAATCTTGTGTTATGCATAGTGAATATTATGCTGTGCATTATTTGCCTAACTTGAGCATTTTGTTAAGCTTAGCCTACTGATAAAATAGAATCGTATGAATTTTTAGTTAAAAATATATAAACCTTGTGTTATGTATAGTAGGTATTGTGTCATACATTATTTGCCTTCTTGTACATTTTGTTAAGCCTAACCTATTAATAAAAGTTAAAGGTTGCTAAACCATTAAGTTAGCTGTGAAAATTTTTGAGTAGATTAGTTATTGTACAATAGTAATGGTTGAATTATTCATATTGGACTTTAACATGTGAATTGAATAAAATATGACTCCCAATGTGAAAAAAACCTACTATTAAAGATGTTGGAGTATCTATTATGCAAAATGAACTTTGAGTAGTTTATGTTGAACTTTGAGTTGTGTAAAATAAAAGTTAGGCTTCTATATATAGACATTTATCTAGATTAATTTGTTCATTGTAAGTTAAAATAAAAGAAGATTTATCATTGTTTAAGATGTAAGAAAGCCTGACACAGTCACAAGACATGCAAGAATCTTAACCTAGCATGTAAGAAGTAGTCACATTATTCTTTTTTAGTGTACATAGGCAACTATAATTATATATATGGAAGCATTCCCAAGTAATATTTTTTAGGTAATTAAGAATCATAGATATTTTTTGTTTGTATATAGAGAAGCAATTGTTAGATATTTGGAATATAGTGGCTAGCTTTTTATATATATCAGACTTAAAATATCATGTCAAATTTCATGTGGGTACTTGTTTTAGTGCCTAGGCCAATACTAACATAAAATTCTTCATATATGATGTAATTGTCCTTCTTGATATTGAAAATGCATAGACTTTCTGCTAAGCATGCGTGGACATTGTCTTGTGTATAGTAGATATTGTGTCATGCATGGTCTACCTAACTTGTCATTATTGAGCTTTGGCTAGTGAAATACCAGAAATGTATAGACTTTCTATTAAGCATGTGTAGACATTGTCTTGTACATGGTAAATGTTGTGTTGTGCATAGTTTGCCTAACCTGTCATTTTGTTGAGCCTAAGCTAGCGAAATATTTAAAATGCATAGACTTTCTATTGAACATGCGTGTACATCGTCTTATGCATAGTGGATGTTGTGTCGTGCATAGTCTACTTAAATTGTCATTTTTGTTAGAGCCTAAGCTAGTGAAATACTCAAAAAGCATGGACTTTCTTCTATTGAGAATGCGTAGACATTGTCTTGTACATAGTGGATGTTGTGTCGTGTATCGTCTATTCTGTTGCTTCGAGGGTTCGCGCAGGTTTTGAATTCAAATCAAATAAAAGGAAAAATTGTATTTTTGGTGTGAAGAAATATTGCAATAAGGGCCCCAGGACTTGCAGAGCAATATCAAATTTATTTAGGCCCAAATTGTAATAAAGTTTTTTTTAGGGCCCTTAATGCCATTTCCCCTATTATAAATCATATAATAAAATTTAAAACAATTTGTGATGGAATTATGACATAAAGTTTACGACAAAAATTTCCATTGTAAATGCTATCACAAAATGAGAATAACGTATCTTGAAAAATTAGCAATAGACTTTTTTGTCAAAAAAATTATGTCGATTAATTATTTCTAACAATTTAGAGACAAAATAGTGACGGAATGTTTCATGACTAAATTCCATCAGTAAAATTATTTTTAACTATTTAACAACAGAACCGTTAGTAAATTAGCAATAGATTTGTGATTGATTAGCAATGAAAATTTATTCTGTCAATTATTCATTGTTTTTTTATAGTGTTATAAACATGTATTTTTATTACCATACTATTGTGCTCAAGGTACACATCTTCATTTTCACAATTAATGGCATTTGAATACTCAATAAATCACAATTGCAACATCACACTTTTCTTTTTATTCTCACACATTACACATAATTCATTGATTGCCATATTCTTGCATCAAAACAATTTCATAGCCATCACAAGATTTTCAAACAATATTATTAACTCTTATAATTAATCAACAAACATATGTACAAGCTAAATTTTTTCTGGTTACCTCAAATCTTTAAAAGATTAAAGGTCCACCCCTCAATAACCAACACTTTTAATGCTTCAAGTAGTTCCATTGGTGCCAAGAAATGATTAATCTACAATTAATCATACCAATTGTCATAAATATCCCTATTAGGATAATTTTTACTATTTATTCAACACTTATACCATTTCCAAAATCTCACATTCAAACTTATCTATAGGGTCTATTAGCTTCTTTTGACTCACATTAGTCCCAATAAACCATTAGATCATCATTAATGGCTATCCACCACCTCCAGTAACCAAATTTAGTGTTAATTTTTTATTATTTATTACCTTAGAACACCAAAACCCATATGGTCATTAATACTATGTCTAAATAACCTAAACAACTCCTATTAACTTCATTAATGGATTCAAACTCATAGCTATTATGGATCAAAAATCATCATCATAAATACAAACCTTAGCTTTCAAAATGGTATGGGGAGGAAGAGAAGAGGTTAGTAGTGGCATACCTTAGTGTAGACAAACTTGAATCACTCCAACAAGCCTATTTTCCAAGCCCTAGCAGACTAAAACATGAGCTCTTCTTCCCTCTTTTTCAAAACTCACTTTTGTCTTTTTTTTTGCAAGTGTGACTCGCATTTAATATTAGAAAAATTGATCATGTGCTATGGCGCATGATATGGAGAGGTCCTTCATTCTCATGTTGCCACATGTGTGCCGACGCTGTATGTGGCATAGACTCATGCTCTATAATTTTTTTTTCCTTTTTTGAGGTTCGGATAACTTGACTTCACTGAATCTAGGGTTGAACCACAGCCTAAAAACATTTATTATACTTTTTTGGCCACACACCATATTAATTTACTAAATTAACCTAATTTAGCTTACTTAATTAAGGTTAAATTTTTAGAATGTTACACCTCAACTCTATCACACACATCACAAAGTATCTTCATTTTTCTCTATGAATCTCTCCTACTCTCATGGTGTCCTTTAAGGGGGGAGAGAGAGGTTTTGTTTTTCTTTTGGATCATCAAAGGAGGGTGGATATGTTGAAGCGGTCAAAGTAGATGCATGCCTTAGTTGTTTGTCAAAAATAGCACGTGAGCTAGAGAAGAGAGGAATTGACGCTACTTACGTAGAGATGAATCACAAAGGTGGTGAGACGTAAGGGTGACGGAGGAAGAAGATGAACAATTCAGAGAGAGAGAGAGAGAGAGGATTGAGAAAGTTAGACGAATGAAAATTGCCACATGTCAATATTTTGGTAAAAAAATAATTAACAGTAAACATTTTTTAAAGTTAAAGATGGGGTGAAATTACTCACCTTTTTAAAGTTTATAAAATTGCTCCAATTAAAAAGTAAAGGTACCAGTCCTTTTTTAAAAAAACTTTTGAGATATTTTTGTCTCTTAATTCATTTTTATAAATCATTGTCCTTTTTAAATACTTTTTTCTCAACATCTAATAAATGGTTTCCCCGACCCTAATGGGTTGATAAGGTGGATATGGGCATGATGTATTTTGAATAAAGAAGAAAAACATTTAGATAAAAATTACTTTTTTGTTCTCCATGATTTTGGCTACATGGACTGAGTATACAGCAAGGCATATTTATATTAATTAACACACACACGCGCGCACACACACACATCATTTGTCATTTAATAGTCAAAATGCCAATTTGTATGATAATAGGATATGGTGGAGAGAAGCATACCTCTACTAAACTTAGGACACAGTCTTTCTTAACCAAAAAATTGATGATGCTTTTAAGGTTCCTTTGATCACTTCACCAGTTTTATTGAAGAAAAAGATTGAAATGCACACGAAATCTTTCATATTTGCTTGTCCCATGGAATTGGGAAATGAGTAGTATATAGGTTGTCTTCTTTTTCCCTACGTATCTGAACTAACAAACCTACTTACGAAAGGTAATTACTAACTTGTTTAGTATATAATGTATTATTCAGAATTTTGTAAATTATATTTTTTCACAAGTATATAGAAGTTATGCATTCAGAAAATGATAGAAAAGAACATGGATATTGTACTTATTTATTTATTGACATAGTTATATAATATTTACTATTGTTAAATCATATTGAAGTATTGTTGGATTTAAGTAGAAGTATAGCTTTTTTTAAGGTGCTTTATGTATTATATGGACTCCAACTCAAGACTTCAAGCTCAAACAGCTATATATAACCTTTTTGATCAACACTTATTTTTCTTTATCTTTTATTTCTCTTAATAACCAAAAAATCGTTTGATTCTACCACATGCTCCAAGTATCATTTGATAATATGAATCATGATAATGTGATGAATTATATTTTATTGTGGCCTGGACTCATTACTCTAGGGATGCTATTTTATTCATCTTGTCGGCCCACAAATAAAAAAATCCACTCGGCCCATATCCAAAATACTATTTGATAAAATTATTTTTGACACAACATTAAAATCCCCCAAAAGCTTCGTGTATGCAAACCTTATGAACTATATATATCTATATATATTAGCTTACCAAAAATAATGATTTAAATTAAAAAAATACAAGAAATTATACGTGTATATATACATATATATTTTCATCTTTTGCGTATGTTCAGGGTCACTTTCTTTCTATATATAAGTATGCCATGCCCAAAGAAATTGCAATAGCTATATATATATATATATATATATTATTGGAGACGCAAATTCAATGTACTCAAAAAGAAGAATTAAGATATATCAAACTAAAGTAGAATCTGAACAAGTATCTTAATAATATAATGGAGCCACACATACATATATATTCCCCCCTTCATATATGTATATAATCCATGAAAATGAGAGTTTTGGTCTATATATATATATATATATATAAATATATATGTGCGTCACTTTCTACTTAGAGAACCTGAGAATGTCACGAGTGTCACAACCAAGGTAATGATGAACAGCTGGGAATTTCTGGGTTGAAGCAGCCACACCAGCATGATGATGATGATCATGTGCAGGCAAGAATCTCTGGTGGTGAGAAGCAAGAAGCTTGTCCAAGAATGACCAGTGATCTTCATTGTAATTATTGAGATTGAGATTTAATCCAGTGCAGGCACTACCCCCACTTGTGCCTGTGAGCCTCAACAAGTTCTGAGAGCACTGGACTACTTCGTCCATGGAAGTAGTGGCGGGTAATACTGCAGGTTGATCAGGACTGAGCAATTGGGGTAGATGCTGGATTGATCCATCAAGGCTATAGTTATGATCATATAGTGCTTGCATGTGATGAAGATGATGATGATAGTGCTGTTTTGGGTCTAATACCTGCTGATGGGTTGATCTACTTTTTGTTCTCATCATTTGTGTTGCTAAGTACTCTTCCTCTTCCATTTCTGTTGCTTGGCAACCTCTATTCAGGTTCTTCTTCTTGAAAACCCTGCACACTACCCACCCATCTTCCTGCCAAAAACTCAACAATATATTGCCCTCATAAGCATGGCATTTTCTAAATTAATCAAGCTTCTCACTATAAAATGCAAAATTAAGTAAGGATTAGTCTCTCGTGATATTTTTTTTGTTTTCTCATCTCTAGGTACACACACAGTAGGCCTGCGCAATTTGCACTATCACAGAAAAGACTTTTATAGCATAGCAGTCAAAAAAAGCTTATTTCTACAGCGGTTTCAAAAGTGATGTTGTTTCAGGGATATAGAAAAAGTCACTGACTTTCCGGAAATGTGGAAGGTCATTGACTTTCTCTAGAGATCAAACATGACCACTTGATCTCAATACAATCCTAGCTCCTAAACCTAACCTAATTAACCTTTTGTTTTGTTGTCTCTAAAATGCAAAATTAAATAAGGGTTAGGCCTCTCTTGATTTTTGTTTTGTTTTGTATCTCTAAGTATGCCCAAAGTAGATCTATTTTATGTTCATCTAGAGAGAACATGATCATCATTTGATCTGAAGACAACCTTAAGCCCCTAAACCTAACCTAACTTTCTCCTGTTGTCTAAATAAATACACATAAATTACAATCGCTAGGTATATACTTTGTGTGTATTTGGAGAGAACAAGGTCAATATATATTTGAGGATATAAAGATAACCTAAGCTCGTTAAACCTAGCCAGCCTACTTAAAACTTCAAGAATCCTCTAAAATTATAAGTCTTTGTGGGAGTTAAAATGATATTTTACCTGAACGTGGAGGTCGTATTCTTCATCAAGACGATACTCATGCATGATCCAGTCAGTCTTTTGGCCGTGAGGAGCACGACCAGTGTAGAAGACAAGGGTTTTTCTCAAGCCAATCCTCTTGGAATTAGTGACATAAATGGCCTTGTCCCTCCCTGTGGCTTTCCAAAACCCAGCTGTGGTTGCCCTATTTGTTCTCGTTCCTGTCGGATACTTCTTGTCCTTGTGGCTGAAGAAATACCACTCGTTCTGTGGCCCTGATCCAATTCTGCACTTCTCTGCAATTCAGTATCACATTACTACATTGCATGCTGTACTTTCACTGAAGAATGAAACTGTAGTTATATAGATCTCTCCAAAGTACACTTGTCTTCTATAAATGAATTATTTAGGAGATATATAAGATGTACCTTTGAGATCCCAAGGCTCAAGTTTGTTAAGATCGACTTCTCTGATGACGTCAAGGTCAATGGCTTCATAAGAGACCTTCTTTCTCAGGTAATAGTAAAGCAGTTCCTCATCAGTTGGGTGAAACCGGAAACCTGGAGGAACTCTCACTTGTCCACTTCCTGGCATTTCTTCCGATTCTACTTCTTTTTTAATTCACCTGCCAAACTTACAAAACATACATCTTAGAATTAAATGATCACACAGCTAGTTAACTATTTACAACTTCTCAACAATGTGTAATAATATTGAGTACTCTTTTTTTATTTATAAAATACTTTCAATTATCTTACTAAAACTTATAAAAAGTAGTTAAGTTATTAATTTTGTCTGAAAATATAATATACTTTTAATTTTAATCCTATTTGAATGAATTTTTTTTAAAATTTACATTATGTACATTAATTCTCTCTCATAATTAATGAATTTAAATAGCGGTAATATTAAAAAGATGTAATTAATACCTCACAGTGTATCTTAATATTAAAGACAGAAAAATACTTCTAGAAGGTTCATTTTTGTCTCTCTCCATTGACTCTGTGTGTGTGTGAGAGAGAGAGAGAGAGAGAGAGCATTTACTGTGTTAGATATTGCAGAGAATTCAATTCCTGGTTCCTTGGTCATTTAAATCACATGGGAATAGATTATTTTTGAAGTACTAAAATGCATGCATAAGAGACTGAAACACTGTTATATGTTGTCTTTTAATTAGCGATCGATTGTTAATGTTAATTAGAATAACGTTCAACAATATTGAAGGCTGAAATTTGGTCATTATCTCAAGAATAATTCAATTTCTGCATATTCACACTGGGAGAATTGTGATGCTCTAATTATATGACTACAAAAAGAAAATTTGTTGCCAAAAAAAAAATTATATGACTACAAAAGAAGAGAGGGTATTAAGGAAGAAAATAATTTTTTTTATTGAAATATATATAGAGATATATATATATATATATATATTAACTCCACTTTAAACTAAACCAATTAGGTACCCCTAATTAAACATACATATGGAACCAAATTCAAAGACCTGCTCAAAATATTATAGTACATTTATCTAGTAGATTATATATGTAGATAATCCATGGAAATGCATGAGGCTATAGGATTTGGAAGAACTTTTCTGCAGATACATTCAAAAGATGGGAGCTAGCAATCTAGTAAACCCTAGAATCATCCTTAAAAATTAACTTAAGGTAAGGATCGATAACTACTCTCGTTAAATTACTGAATTTCAAGATCTTACTACTTGAAATTTCTTATGTTCAAATTAATCTTTGTACTCTATATATATATATATATATAAACCTGCATGCGCCATATATTATTTTCTCGAGAATAAATAGAATTTGGCTTATTGGAGGCCAGATTTGTGAACAGAAACAGCAATATATCAGAACAATCATATCATTTCATCAGAATCAGCAAAAAAATGAAATGAACATGTGCCTCATAGTACAGTAACTACTTGTAGACTATAATACTGAACCATACAAAAGAAACAAAACAAACATGTACGTTCTGCTTTATTTTCTTTTAGAACTTTCAGATATCTGTAGCAAATTCAGTCCAAACAAGAGCTATAAAAGCACAAAGCTCAGAAGGAACATGAAAATACCTCCAGAGACAAAAAGACAAAAACGAAAGAAAGTAAAAATACCTCCAGAGACAAAGAGACACGAACAAAAGGGCCATAATTAAGACGAAGAAACAGTAGAAACAAACGGATAATCAAAAAAGTAGCTAAAGAACACAAACCTTGTGCTGGCAATTACGTGGATATCTCACCAGGACAAAAGAAACCAGACAAATTAGGAGTTGCGTACCTTGTTAGCTATCTAGGTTTTACCCAGTTCCTTCGCTTCAATGGCACGGGCGTAGGCTCATGAGAGAGAGAGAGATAGAGATGTGTGGTCTTCAGTGCAATATATGCAGCCAGCTTCGCTCACAAGTTCATCATAACCAAGAAACGGCACAGAAATATATATATATATATATATAGAAAACTGTTTATAATACTATTAAGTAATTGTAGAAACTGATTGAAGAAAGAGTAGTAGCACAAGTTAAGGACTCAAAGCTATATCCAGCTAGCTGTTTGATATGATCGTATCAGAAAGATACATTATTAATTATTATTGGATAGGTGTGATCTAAACAAGTTAATAAAATTAATCAATTCATGAGAAATGCTGCGCGTCCTACCAAAAACATTACAATCAATATATAGATGCAAGAGTTACATGCATATGTTTTCATAAATCGTTTTTTAAACTCAAAACTATATCGTCTTTTCGTCCGTTGTTGAATATAAGTTAATAATATTTGTATGCAAAATTTTATATACAAATTTTAATATATTGTAATAATGCAAGGTAGGCTTTGGTAATTGTCGGTTGAATGGGGGACCTTACTCCTTAAAATCGCCTTGGTTGAAGAAAATTTGCTAACTGTCAATTTCAATTTTCTTCATTTAAAATACAATTATATCTGTCACTTGGCAGTCTTAGTCAAAGAACTATAGAGCCATTTTTAGCTGATTTCATTCTATTAGTTCGATATGCTTTACTATTATTTTAATTAAGATCTTTCCAACTGTGTACAGTTTATGCAACTGGAAAGAGATGTACTTCAAATTAAGTAGTGCACAGATGAGATTCACCATTATATTTATCTATTGTTTATCATATGAGCGTGTGTTTGATGAACAATATTTGCAACTCCATATTCATTCATTCTGACTTATTGTCATTTTATTTTATTATGTACAAGTATATATCATTTTATTGAAAGTAATCATGTTCAAAATATAATCAGACACTACATATAAACTTATCTCGAGGGGATTTGAACCTTAATACTAATTAATCATATTATTTCTTTAATTATTGTGATTTTGTGAAAGGTGTTAGTCAAACTTGGAAGAGGATGAAGATCTAGCGGCTAACCTTGAATCACGTTCATATGTAAAAGTGGAGAATTTGTATTAAATTCAGTGCAGGGGTCAATATTTATGCATATAATTTCTGTTATGTATGCATATAACAATATGCTACTCCATTTTTACTTATAAGAGAAATTATCTCTTTTTACTTATTTTTTTTATATAAGTAAAATAACATATTTCAATAAGCATTTATTACATATTTTTTAAAATACCCCTCATAATTTACATTAATGAAAAATAATTAATGTATACTTATGTTGATGAACATAGAACATTTTAGTCTAATTTTTTTATTTTTAAATATAATTATTATGGTTAACCAATTTTTTTAAACTGTGTGATATAGTTTTTTCTTTTATATATAGAAATGGAGGAAGTACTCATTATTCACTAAGAACATATACGCATTATGAATTAATTAATCACCGATTTAATTCTTTCGGTTCATTGGGATGCAGCTATGCTTCCCTGTGGATGACGCAGCATGATTCTGGATCCAAGGCAATATTTAAAAAACTCAAAATTAATTAGGCTAAACAAGCAAAACAAAATGACCGCATTATTGTTTAATTGTCCAAATTGATTTTCCTTGTAGTGAAATTTTTTTAAAACTAAATTGTTTTTTGAACTGATCAAAATACTGATTTAAGGTTAATTGATTTAATTATGGTCAAACTAAGTTTGTATAATTAATATGCATTAATTTTTCTCAAACAACAAGGGAGGGGGGATTTAAGAAAAGTCTAAGCTAATTGAACAACTAACGGGTACTATTTTCTAATTTTATGTCATATAATTGTAATGATGGGGACTAACTTAAAAATTAAGTTTGCAGACTTTAAGGACTTAAGTATAAATTTTTAAATGATAGTGACAAAGTTAAAATTAAGTAAATTAGAAGGATGAAAGCATAATTTTCAAGAACCTAACAATTTATAAACATAATTAGTACGCTTCACTTGTTGTTACTTAGGACCGTGTTTGTTTCGTAGTACGTGAGACATGGATAATGTTATTAGTATGTGCTTTGACCATTCGTTTTCTTAAACTTTTCTGATTAAAATGTTACCTTTGTCATACTTTCTGGAAACTTTTTTGTAATTATAAGGGACTCTATAAATTTAACTATCAACTGTATCCTCACTTTAATAATTAGTTAATTATGGTTTTATATCCGAAATTATGCAGAAATGTGGTGAAAAAGCCAACAAGCTCGTTTGGCTGTATCTAGATCCAATAATGTAGGGTTTGATCATAAACAAACTCCAATTACTGTGTTGGTAAAATGATTAGACGTGAAAATTTGATCAAGATGATCGGAAGGTAATTTTTATTTATTTAGTTTACTTTTTAGATATTCATGTTGTGAATTTTTCTAATATAAAACTATAGTCAATATATTCTTTTACAATATAAAGTACAACAATCACATCTTTTCCTTTTTTAAAAAAAATTCCTTCCACATATCATATACAGTACATGGTTGTATTATTTATTTTTAGTAAAATACAGTCATTTTTCTAAAATTATAGAAAAATCCCCTTTTTTGGGTGAATATAGAATAGGGGTGTTCAATTTGGACCTATCCCAATTGGCCCAGTATCATCCCGATCATATCGGGACGGGTCTTGTCTCAGCCCGAAAATAATCAGAACGGGACAAGAAAGGAATTCAGGACGGGACAGGACACGGGATTACCATCAGGACGTCCCGTCCTGTCCCAAATATTATATATATTATTTTTTATTGTAAATATATTAATTATATTAATATAATTTATACTTATATTAATTATATCAATTATAATTTTAATACTTGTAATTCTTATTTAAAACTAAAGTTTTTTTATATTGATAATTTTAATGGCATTGAGTAAACATGGCGATATCTTTCTTTATAATATATTAATTATATTAATATAATTTATTCTTATATCTATCTATTTAATAACTTTTATTTATAACATATTTCTTGCTTATTTTTAGAAGAGTAATTAGCTTAGTACATCTCCACTAAAGTAGAAGAATAATGATTTGATGTTGTGTTTGACTTGCTTATTGTTGCTAATCTTATAGCATAAAGATAACTTGCATTTGTTATTAAAATATGTAGTTGTGATTAATATAATTCAATAATTGATTTTAAATTATTGTTATTTATGTGCTTGTGTTGTTTTGATTTTAAACTTAATAAATTATATAATTTATAATTTTAATGAACGTTATTATCCAGATCTTTTTTTGATATTATTTCATTTATCAGAATGGCGGGACGTCCCGATCTTGTCCCGATCCTGTCTCGACTCTTAACGGGATGGGACGACTTTCAGGACAGGACACGGGACCAAAATTCAGTTCTGATCTTTTTTTCGGGACGGGACACGGGACGGGAATGTCCCGATCCCGTCCCGTCCCGTGAACACCCCTAATATAGAAACATCTTTTCTTAAAAAAAAACTTATACTTTATTCCAATTTTTTGTACCATTAAGAATGTTCTGTCAAAAATTTTAAAATACTTAATTTTTATTTGCAGTTATGCTGAAAAATTTAAAATTATTAATTTTCATTTATAATAATTTTAAAATATTATGTTAAAATTAATAAAAATTGACATGAATTATATTGACTAATTTATTTCTTATTATATTAAACCCCTACTTCATTAGTTTTTTTAATGTGTTTGAAATTATATTTTAGGCAACTTATGTATGTAATTTTTTTAAACACGACTTAGAAAGTAAAAAAATATATGTCCATTAAATTTTTAGGTAAGATGAATGATTTTTAGACAATATATATTTAAAAAAGGGTATTTTGGTTCAAAATATGTTACTTAATGATCAATTAACCAGATGAAAATAAAATTTTGAAATTAAAAGAAAAGTTTTTTTTTTTGTAACTACTTATATTAAGAAGAGGTGAGTGCATTTTACACTATTTCTTTGATCACACGTTCATATAAATATAGAAGATTTAAATTCAAATAATGATAATTAATTAGAGAAGTGAGAAAGCAATAGTCCCTAAAATCAGTGGGTGGATGCACACAGTGATCCAATACAGAGTGCACAAATCAAGGCATGGGTTAGCTAAATCCCTATGCATATAATAATACAAAATCCCTTCGGATCTGCCTTTCTTTAACTCTCTCTCTCTCTCTCTGATTTATTTTATTTAATTTTCTCTGTTCCTGTGTAGCTGGTCAAACACGTCGCTGATAAAAAGGAAGAAAACCGAATTATATATGCTTCTATTAATTTCTCTCATTATTAATTAGTACTGTAACAGTTCAGTGAGTTGATTTAATTTGTTGCATTTGCATATGATCAATGCCGTCACCTTTACGAACACTTCATGACATTAATGTCTCTGGTGGCTTAATAATCACCTGAGATTTTTCCTATTTACTTCGTGTCTCATCTCTCTCTCTCTGCTTAATTCTGGACAACATAATTAGGAGACTTTCATGTTTACGAAAATGTATATCCCAATTGCTTTTCCAGCCTCAACAGCAATTCAACAATCATCATTTATTCAATGTAGGATACTATCAAAAACATTGTAGGTCATCACACATGGATTTTTTACCTAGTTGGCTTTCGAATTGGACCGTCTAGGTTGGATCTGAACGATCCAAATTTAATATTTAATATTTTTTATTTTAAATTTATTAAAATAATAATTTATAGGATTATTCATATTAAATATGGACTATATAGACCATTCATATTATATAAATTTTTTATTTTAACAAATGTAGGATAAAAATATTAAATCTAGACAATTTGGATGGTCCTAGTTAGGGAGGTGTGGAGGAGGGCTTCCTTCTCCATCACTCAATGATGAATGCATGAGCTGCTCATCATAAATCCGGATCATCTCCAGATTTAATATGTTTTATATATATATATATATATATATATATATTAATTTTGATATAGGATTAAAGGAAAAGTTTGACTTGGAAGTTTTCTACCAGGAGCAACTAGAATTTTTAACTTTTAATTGG